CGGATATCGCCGCGCTCTGCATTCGAGTGGTCCGATCACCACCAAGAGAGATGCCGCCTGGCTTGCGCGGGGGGCTACATATGTTGTTCTCCTCTTCTTTTAGGCCATCTCATCTATCACCGCCCTTTTCACCCGAACTTTCTCTGATACAAGGGGGAACTCTCCTTTCGACCAGCACCTACGCCTCTGGATTCGGATGAGGTGCTGACAGCACCTTCCTTCGACTGAGTGGTCGGCCTAGCGTCCACTACCTTCGGCCAATCGTTCCTCGGCACACCCGAGAAGTACGCCGTCTGTTCCTGCAAATGGATCTTTCAACAAGCGAATCAGTTCACTGCTTGGTACCAGCACGGGATAAAGTCACCAAGAACGACAGTTGAGATTTTTACCTGAGGACGTGGGTTCGTGCAGTTGAAGGCTCTCGGCTGCCCTGGCACGCTGAACGGCGCGTTTGGAGCGAATAGCTCTATGGCCCGACATAGCACAGCCTCCTTCATCAGCCTCCCCGTCCTCTCCCGGGTGCCGTCAGTGTCTCCCTTGAAGTCAAAGCCCGGATGAGCCCTCTCCTTGCAGGGCTGAACGCGGCGCACTATGAAGCTCACCGCCACCACTACTCCATTCATCTTCATACCCCTTATTAGCCCGAGGAGCTCCTTCACTTGCTCCATATTGGCACTGGTTGGCTTCTCCGACCAGCTCCTCGTGGTTCTTTGGAATTTGGTCAATGTCGCATCGGATGGCAGGATGGCTCTGCTTCATGTAAAACCACCTGGCATTCCATCCCTTCAGCAAGGTATTTAGTGGCACCATAATGTACTCGCCCACCATCCCATCACGGAGTTATAGATACACACCGCCGACCACTTTGGAACAGCCCCCGCCCTTCTTCTTCAGCCAGAACATGTGTTAGAAAAGATTGAAGTGGGGAAGAACACCAAGATACGCCTCGCAGAAATGGATAAACACAACAATGTGCAAGATCGTGTTCGGATGTAGATTGCACAGGCTCACTCCCCAATAATCCAATAGATCCTACAAGAAAGGATGCACCGGAAGTCCTAATCCACGCCAGAAATAATCTTCAAATACTACGACTTCATTAGTTTGTGGCATCGGATAGGGCTCACCGTCGGCCGGACACCATCCGGCAGTGACTCGGTCAAGAAGGACGCCCGCCTCCACCATCTCGTTGAGCTCTGTCTCCCCCATGAGTGATGGCACCCATTCCTTGTCATGGCTCATCGTGACGGACACCTTCTTCGGGTTACCACCTCCCCTCTTCGACGCCATCCCTAAGATCTGGATCAGAACTATTTTCCTTTGTGTGAGCTTTCTAGCCCTAGCGGTGGAGCGCGTGTGAGTGCGAACGCTAAGTGCGAGGGCTGAGGAGGAAGATGAAGTGGCGAAGTGGCAAAGGTGGGAGCGTGGAGTGCGGCGATGCAGTTATAAAGACACCCTCTCCACTTTTCGCATTCAAGGGTTTTTGGGAAACCGCACCATTATTTGCGTCTTTCCGAATTCCCCAAAGCGGCATGGTGGGCCGTTATCTGGGCTTCCGCGCAACTGCAGCCCATATCGTCCATTTTTCGACGCAACTTGGAACTGCACGCCGAATATTCACCGACTTCTCTGCAATACCATCAAGGCTTAGTAATTTCTACTGTACAACCATTACTCTAGCTTTTTCTCCACGATTTGATTCATCTGAGATTTCCACTTGTGGCTTGGGGACTATGTCATCATTATGACTTAGTTCATCACCACATTGGGGACTTTCTATTGGTTACTGTTGTTTCTGACCCTGGCACTACGTGACCACGTCACCTACTGTCAGGCTCGAGGACTAAGTGGGCACACTTCACCTTGCAGTGAATGTGCGTTTTTCATTTTAGGGCTCCGCCCAGGGACTGGTTGCCTGCTCGGCTGGTCTTCTTCCTTCTTCTACTTTCTAGACCCTAGCACCACATGACTATGTCACCTACCGTCAGGCTCGGGGACTAAGTGGGCACATTTCACCTTGTGGTGAGTGTGTTTTCTCTAATCTAGAAGACTCCGTGCCTCTTGAAGTTGACGAAGATTATCTCCCTTTTCCCGTGGTCGGACTCTAAGTGGGCACACTTGGTCCACTGCGAGGAAATATTTGATTTTGAACATGAGCTCCTTAAATCCTTATGGCAAGCCTTACTTGGGACACTCTGCTCGGTGATGGTTCACAACTGCTCGGCGACTCATTAGGGTGGTCGGACTATGAGTCTGGCTGCTCGGCTTTGTTCACACCTGCTCGGACAAGCTCAAGACGGCGTTGCACAGCGGATACAAGGCGCTCGGGGACTAGCTGTGGGGGGTACGACCCTGGATACCCACGGCAGACTACATGGGCTGTGCTCCTAGGGGCGGTCCAGCCCACAAGACGAAGGCTTATGGTGCATGGTACTGCTCGGCGTGTACCGCAAGGCAACAAGGACGATATCCTCAAGATACTACGTGATCTGTTAGGATACGTTCGATCCCATGATTCATGTAATCTGTTATTACTTACCGGTTATCTCCTAGGTCTAACCGACTTGTAACCCTGCTCCCTAGACTATATAAGGCGGGCAAGGACCCCTCAAAACACACGCAATATCATACGATCGTCAATATAAACCAACAGACCACAGGAGTAGGGTATTACATCGTGCTGATGGCCCGAACCTGTCTAACTCTTGTGTCTCTGTTGCCTTCTTGTTCTTGATCACGCGCACCTCTACCGGTCAATCTACCTTCGTGGGATACCCCTCGGAGGACTGCTGAGCATCTTTTGTCGATAGGTTGCAACACCTACAACCTTGATTAAGATGCGTCGGTTCATATCTAATAAATCTATCATCTTCTTGTCCTTCAAACTTGATCGTATCTTTGTTGACGTCAGATCATTTCTCTGGTTCAGTTCCATGCTCATTTGTTATGCTTCCGTGTTATACTCCATTCTAAATGAGCTTAATGTCTTGTACTCGTGCTTAATTCTTATTCCCTGAGTACATATGTTGGCTTAGTTCGTATAAGCATGCCTAACCCCTTGTTCTTATTGTCACATGCTTATATGAACCAAGTATGTTGAAAACCTCACCCATCCCTTTTACAAACATACTTGAGGTTATGTTGTCATCAATCACCAAAAAGGGAGAGATTGAAAGCATCTAGGCCCCTAGTGGGTTATGTGATTAATGGCGACATAATATTATTGTGACTAACGTGTGTTTTGCAAAGACAATTTGAGTTAAGTGACAATAATGGTGATTGTTTGGGCAATCAATGGTTTTCATGCCCCTATCGATGGAAATCATTTCTGTTTTCAAAGGATAGATGATAAGGTTAAGGACGGATTAGTTCTAAGTGTCCTTTGGTACTGAGAGACACTTAGAGTAGTTTAGCTTGACCTAGGTGAGTCTAATGTGTTAGGTGTGATGCACACTTGTCAAACTTAGCACTAGGTAACTCAGAGTTAGCCCAAAGATCATTTGGAGTCAACCTTATTTACAAAGAATTTCGAATCGAAAGTGAATGAAGTGTTGAAACATGCATCGGACGCTGATGCAGGTAGCATCCGACAAACTACCGAGCGTTCGATGAGTGCTAGACCAGCACAATGAGGGTTTGATAACCATGGGACGATGTTGAAGCAATGCATCGGATAAAACGGTCGCACTGTTCATCTCAGCGTTTGGTTTGTAGAACACATCAGACGATAATCATTATTTACATCAGACAAAAGTTGGTCACCATCCGATGTCATCCGGAGAGCATCCAGAGAGGGTCTTGATGCAACGGATTTGTCCGGTGGGGGTGCATCAAACGATGTTTGGATCACTAGCACTGTAACGGCTAGTTCTGACAGCTAATGTCAGCACTGTGCTGTCTGAGTCACATCAGACAAGTTGAATTTGTCCGATGCCCGGGTTTGTTGTGTTCGATGCTCCCGACTTCTTCTGGATTTGGCTCCAATGGCTAATTTCTTTGGAGGGGGTACTTATACCAACTGAACTCGTTGAAAGAAGCTCTCTTGCTCATTTGTTCAGCTGAGACAACCATTTAGAGTTCAAGCAATAGCAAGTCATTGAAATTGGATAATCCAAGATTAAGGACCTCATTAGTGCATAGAGAATAGCAAGTGTGCATCCACATTTCTCATTAGGCTTGTTATGGTCAAGTGAGAGTTTATACTTGTTACTCTTGGTGATCGGCATCACCTAAATGGCGTGGTGGTGATTGTGAGCTTGGTGATCATCCGGCGGAGCTTTTATACCCAACTCATGTTGTGAGCGGTTGTGGGTGATTCACCGCGTCGTAGTGATGAAGAATCAGTCTATATAGAGCACTCGGTTCTTGCATGGATCGAGGGTGAGCAATACCCTTGCGTGGGTGCTCCAACGATGAGTAGTGGGGAGTGCCGACTCTCTGATACCTCGGAAAAACATCGCCATATTCCTTTCCCTCTCTTTACTTTGAGCTTTTACATTTGAGCACTTACATTCTCGTATTTACTATACTAGAATTGTCATGCTAGGATAGGATTCGAACCTAGGGTACTAAACTCTTTGTGTGGTAGAACAATAGAAATCACTTTTAAGCATAAGGGGTGAAATGGGCTATGTGGTAGGACTTAATTGTTGCGAGAAATTTTAGATTAGCCTAATTCACCCCGCTCTTGGACATCTTGATCTTTCAATATCCTTTACCTAAAAAATCATTACTATGAGACGGCGATATTTTGAAACCAAGAAATGATCTCATATTTTTAATTATTATGCCAAGCCAGTTCTTCAAAATTGCTACTCAGTGTAAGTGTTCAGTAAAAGCTTTCATGTGGCATAAAAAAACGTACACTTTTTTCATTTTGGCTAATGTATATTTGTACGAGACTTTGGCGATCCCTTCCTCAGTGTACAACAAGTGTGGGGATAGAAACATGTTTATTACACAAACAAGCACATATAAAACATTTCAGACAAAAGTAATCATCAGTTTTCCAACATGCTCCTAGGTAGCATCCGTCTTTTGTAACTCACCTCCACTTTCCCTCTAGGTTCTGGGGAAAGCTTTAGCCAATTGGTCTCGGGGAATGATGACACCAACTTGAGCTCAAAGTTCCTTAGCAAATGGCTCCATATCACCTTCACTTGCAAATAGGCATAAGCTTCGCCAGGGCAAGCATGTCTTCCACCACTGAACGCGTTGTAAGTGAACTTTCCGCCAACTCTGTCTTCCTCCCTTCCATGACCAAACCGGTGCGGGTCATACACATTAGGGTCCTTGTAAATATAAGGAATGTTGTGGTTTATCACCAGAGGGCTTGCTATGGTATGCCCACTCGGAATCTCATACTCGTAGCCTTCTCTAGTCCGCACGGTGAAGTTCTTGCGCACCTTGCGAAGAAATATTGGTGCTGTAGGGTGCATCCGCAGTGCCTCCTTGATGCAGCAGTGTAGGAAACTCATCTCCAGAAGGGTATCGTAGTCTATGTTGTCCCCATGTTTCTTGACGATTTGCTGCTGCTCCTCAAGGGCAGCCTCCAAGCACTCTGTGTGGCTTAGAAGGCGAGCTCCAGTCCACGTGCTGCTGGTCGTGCTTGTGTGCATCCCAGCAAAGACGATGGCAATTATGAGCCCGGTAACCTCAGCTTCAGTCGTGGGGCGGCCATCCTTGTATTTGGAGTCTATCAGGTTCTGCAAAACATCCTCCTCGACTCGGTTGGAGCTCTTACGTGATCGAACGATCTCAGCGAAAATGCTTGAGAGCGTAGCAGATGCCCTGTCGCGCCGTCGAGTCGTCGGCGTTGGGGCGTATGGAAACAGCAAGCTGATCAGCTGAAAGCTGTTTTCTGTGAGTTCAAGGAATGCAGAGAAAACCTCGTCGAACATCTTCTCCCGAACCTCTTTCCCGAGTAGGCAACGCGCTGAGATCAGCATTAGTAACTGCTCCAGTTCTTGCTTTAGATCAACGGTACCATGCTGTCCCCATTTCGCAAAGTATTTCTGTGTACCAAAATGCATGACCATTTATAAACATATATGTACTCTTCCTGACAAGAAAAACTTTATTTCTTAGATACTCCTAATAATGATGCAGTCTTCAATATTTAGCTATGCCCACACTACATTTAAAAAAACGCTATCAGATTAATTTGTGATGTTATTACTTTACTTTTCAAGGCAAATCTATGATATCATTATCATATTTCCAAAATAAATATTTTGAAAGATATCTTTATAGTCATATTTGAGGAGTTGGGCAACTGAAATGCTTAATATAATATATCTTCTATTTGTCACTAGACGAAGCAACAAAATTAGGAAAATGATAGTGATACGAAACCACCCACACTGGTATGCTCTACACACATCCATTGGTCCTTGATCTGTCATATTTATCTTGTGTTTGGTTTCCACCTCCTAAAGCTTAGTGCATGTCACATCGGATGTTTGACACTAATTTGAAGTATTAAACTAAGACTAATTACAAAACTAATTGCACAGATTGAGACTAATTTGCAAGACGAATCTATTAAGCCTAATTAGTCCATGATTTGACAACGTGCTGCTACAGTAAACATGTGGTAATGATGGATTAATTAGGCTTAATAGATTCGTCTCGCGAATTAGCCACGGCTTTTGCAATTAGTTTTATAATTAACTCATGTTTAGTCCTCCTAATTAGCATCCAAACACAAGGACTAAACTTTAGTCCCTGGATCCGAACACCCATTTAGTCCATACACATACCATACAGCAATATAGTACAGCTAAACAGCTGCACAGGAGATTATCAAGCCTACTCACGCTAAATAATTCGTAAGTAAAAAATATGCTCATGCAACATATAATGGAAAATTCTGAATAACAATATATACGATAGTTAAAGATTACTTTCTCCGTCCTAAAATACAAGGTATACTAGGAATTCTAGGACATATAGCAAATGACGCATGTAATCTTCCTTTAAGATATTGTGATTACCCATATTTGAGTTGGTAACAGACATTAATGGTATGCATAACGCATGTGGATGTTGTCTTTTAAATTGAGTTATACAGAGTTATTTCTCCTAAATCACATAATTTAGGACAAATTTTGAATGATTGAACACCTTATATAGGACGGAGAGAGTATTAATAAATGCTGATGTTATTTTATATGTCCTTTTCACTGGTCATCTTAAATCTTTTTCATGAATCAAATTATCCATCTTACGGAAAAAAAAGAAAGTGTTTCAGAAAGAATACACTCTAAATGAATTAATATGTCAAACTTTTCCAGTTAACAGTAATGAAACTCTGACTTTCATCCTTTCCTATATATAATGCAATAACACTAGATAATGGAAAGAAACACAACATGGTATCCACTTACATGAGAGAGAAAACTCCAAAATCAGTACAAATAAAGCCAAACCTATTTTGATGGTTGTTTTGTCAACGAAACTTGCTAGCCACTGGAGCTAGTAGAGCAAACTAACATGGCCATGCTCAGAGGCCGCGGAGACAGCGCGGCCTCATAGTTTTAATTTCATTATTTGTTCTTGCTCTTACTAAAAGCTGGCTACTTTTTAGATAATGTGTATATAACATTATAACTATATCTTGTTAACTGTATTAATTTTCATTATGTGTGTGTGAGAAAGAGAGAGAGAGGGGGGAGAGAGAGCAGAACAAATGAAAGTAGGCATGAATGCATGTTATGTTACTTACTTCCACTTCATGAAGCATGGGAGCAACATGGCATCTCAACTTAGCCGGTTTTAGTGCATCAAGATAGAAGCGATGCTGCTCAGTTCGGGTGGCGATATCCACAGCAAAGGCGACATCTTTGCCAAACATGGGGACAGTGAACTCAAGGATATTACCATGACTGATCTCAGACTCCAGTCCCTGGTAAAAATGAGCCGAGACCTCCGGCCCAGCCAGGAATGTTGTTTTCATCCCTAAGAAACTTATTGTGAACACACTTCCTAACTTTGTGTATTGCTCTTGAAGCATGGATGTGAAGCCCTTGGTGACAAGTGTATGTAGAAGTCGAACGGCTGAGGTAGTGATGCTAGTAATAACCTCAGGGGGGTGAGGCAGGGTATTATTGCATGATGATGCCGGAACAGCTGTTATTTTTGCCCAGGCAACCTTGGTGATTACTGCAGCGATGAAAACAAGTGCAATGGAGAATGGCACGGCACTACTGTTTACCATGTCCATGCTGCAGTTACATATATTGATTGAAAACCTGTAGAACCAAGCAGCCTGGTAATAGAAGAGTAGTGCGCTGCAAGACTATTCAAGAGTGAGAGGAAACAAAAAACAAGTGAATGCATTTAGTTTAGAATCTTTTCTAAAAAATGTCTGCGGCTAGTTTAGAATCAAATTTGCAATCCATGAGAGGTATGTAGCCTCACCTGATGCAGGTACGTGATCTGGGGAAGAACTGGAAAGACAATGCGGAACAGGGATGGATCACTACGGCGTGGCGTCCAGCGATGGCGAGCTATGGGCTGGCCTACCCATGCTATGCTACGCGTTCCTTATAAAGGACATGATAACGATAACTACTCCAGAATAGTTATCTATCTATCTATCTATCTATCTATCTATCTATCTATCTATCTATCTATCTATCTGTCTGTCTGTCTGTCTGTATGTCTGTCTATCTATCTGTTTGTCTGTCTATCTATCTACCTACCTACCTATCTACCTATCTATCTATCTATCTATCTACCATGGGTGCTTCGTGTCAATTATCATGATAATATGACTTTTACCCTCAACAATGACATCTAGTATCTTACTTGAGGTGACAAGGTGACATTGTCATTGTGATTATGAGTGATTGTCGAATCAGGTGATCTCCTTTTGATTGATTTATTGTTGCTTATGACTAACTAGATAACTAACCAAGTTAAGGAAAAGAAGTGGCATTGCAACATGTCTCTTGGTTGTGTAGGTGTAGGTGTTGGAGAAGAGTTGGCGGTTGATTGAGGGCAAGTGAGGAAAAGCAGCGTGTCATGCCAATGTACCATGGGTGCTGAAGGGAAGACATAAGGCTTGGATTGAAGGACCAAGGCCAAGAGGACCATGGGTGATCTACACCAAGCGCAAGGGGAACAAGCGCGCATATGGTAGGCGATGAAGACAACATTGACCGAAGTCAAGCTGGGATCAAGACCAATTCAAGAAACTGGCCAATGAGGACTTGATAATCATTAGTCTGAGGATGATGTGTACACATGTTGACACCGTGAATGAAAGTAATTTTATCCGAGTCAGATCAGGGTCTATAAACCCTAGTTATAGACCTGGAGATATTCTCTAAAACGATCCACGATTCCCTCGAAGGGAAATCCACAAAACAAACGATATTGTGATAGTCCCAAGAGATAATGCCATCACATTATCGAGATCCAGATGCTACCACAGTTCATACATTGTGAATACCTATCATAGAAGGGTACCAATAGAGAGGTTTACCCATGGCAGAATCGTACATCACACACGTAGCATCCAAAATAGCATCGGAGTAGACGTAGCATCTCCACGGGTGAAGACTCCATCTCCATAGGCAGACTCGAGCATAGGAAGAGACCCTCTAATCCTCCCATCCGTCAGCGGTGTAGTCGTACTCAGGCTCCTCACATGTATCAACAATTTTCAGTATGATTCGTACTGACCACTATTTCCCACCCTACACTTTGCTTTGCTATGTGGAAGGTAGTATGCAAGGGTAAAGAAAGAACCTACTATTTGGCTGTGGGTTTCCTATGCAAATCTCATCATAAAGTTACAGTTATTCTCAAGTTTTAACCCATTTATCCATTCATCCCATCCCATCATCCACACAGTCACACCACACTCTCACATCTCACCACCACTCTCTCTAGTCGACAAGGACAACTCCCACTCATCCTAGCCTCAACGGCCTTAGCCTAGATCCTTATCCAAACCCAGGGGGAAGAGAAGACACCACTCTCTAGTCAAGTGAAGCGTGAATCATAGGAATGCCCATGACAGTGGACAAAGCTATACGTATAGATTGATCAACTCTGCAGATGGTATACACTTGTACCCACAAGATCACCATCATTGGTAGCGCCCGCCTAGGCTGATTTCATACTGCCATCCAACCGGTTAAATACCATCGTTGATAGGATAGCCGATCAGCTAAACATCCTTGGGCTGCTATAACTTTGGGTTGATGAGCTTCAATATAAGCCACCGGTGAAAGAGCCAAGAGGAGTTCTGGACTTAGCTTATCCTTGATAGCTCTGAAGGCATTATGGATCGGCTCTGCATCTCGGACCAAATCGACGACACCCTTTTCCAAATAGATCAACATGTCTTGCAGCCGGTCCTTTACGTCATCGGCTAAAGGATTGACTGTCAGGTGGGTCGATGTGTCTCTTGAGCATACTTCGGTCTCGCCTAAGTAATCTTCAAGATTAAGCTCAAGCAAACTAAGAGGAGATTCTTGGGCCTACAAGTTTTGAAAGAGAATAAGGCATCAACCAATATAAATACAAACAAGTAAGAATGATACCTGTTTCAGCCGAACCTCTTGCCGAAGTGAAGGAACAACCATTTCTGCACCAAGACTCGTATCCACAGTTGGCTGAATCGGCTCAAAAGTACCAGGGTTTGTTTCTACATCAACTGATAATCATTTATTGCTAGCCGATGAATGAAAAGGAATAAGAGATGAAGTCGATATAGTAAAATCCATACCATTTTTTGACTGGTGGATCTCCTGACCATCAATGGTTGCCTCACCAGCCGTTTCATCTTAAATCAGCTCTAAGAGGTTAGGAATCGACTCATTAGCATTCTGAGTGCTATCGTCCTCAACCTGAATGATCGGCGAATTAAGAAGACTTTGATCTCCTC